TCTCACTGTTTTTGAGTATGGTCTAGTAGTAGTGTCTTAGCACTGCCGTGTGTCCCAGACAGAAAGAGGGCGCTCGACAAGACAGAGAAAGGAACGTGTGAATGCAGAAGAGCAGACAGTATGGAAACTGTTAGAGTCTGTGACCACTGAGGAAGGAGTTAACCCGAGCAAGCTGCTCACTGGAAAACAAGGGAAACCCCAGGAGGAGTGAGGTCTGCAGAAACCCTGATTCAGTGTGTTTGGCACCCTTCTACCTACTGGCCTGTTAGGTAAGGGTGTTGGGTTAAGCCAGAAAGTTATAATAATTTTTCACAGCCACAGAAATAAACACAACCAATCCTGCCCTTGCAGTTGGGCATGGTGCTCTGACTGAGGTCTAGCCCACCCACTGTCGGAGCTGAGAAGTAAGACAACACCCAGAATGGAGAGGAGCACCCACTAAAGACATCCGAAGATCTACCTCTGCTCACTCAATGGCAGACAGCAGGAGTTGGAGCCCTTAACTGAAGAGGTGGAGAAACTGGACAAGATGAACTCGGCTGTTCAGGCCGTGTCTGAGAGAAGGACACTGGGCGTCCGGGCGGGACTTGCTCACAGGTTGGTGTGGTTCTACTCTGTAGCCGCCAGTGCTCAGAGAAGCTGAATCGAAGGCTAGCCTGGGCTATGCACACTCCCCCATCACAAACCACACATCTTCAGACACGGGTTTAATTGAACACAGATGAGAAGCAGGGTCCTGAGAGCTGCGCCGTGCTAGCTCTAGAGAGAGAAACTGCGGGCTGCTGGGTAGCTGTAGATGGAGGGGGAAGGCACGGGCATAGTCTAGGCAATTAAGGGAGGAAATTTCTTATAGTTAAAGATTCGAGTCAACAGATTGGAAAATCTTGAATCCTTAGTAGGACGAATGAAGTTAGTAACACATGCAGGAACAGTGCGGCTAATCCTCAGAATGCAAGAAGAAAGAAAAGTCTATTCTATAGAAAATATTCTATTTTTGCTCAGTAACAATCATCAAAATAGAAAATTTTATCAACAATAACTAAACCAAGGATGACCAAGAGAAACAGAGTACCGAAGCCAACAGATTTCCACTCTGTACTTAGTGAGATCGAGTGTGAAGTCAGGGCACGTTCAGCCTCAGGAGAGGTGGGGAAGCAACTCCTCACACTGGGGACTGAGAGGCCCATTGTGTGTGAGATGCAGCTTAGAGGTCTGTGGGGCTAGAGTCAAAGGAGCCATTGTCCTCGGCTTACAAACAGCTGTTGGCCTTTGTGGGAAGAAGGCCTGTTGGGAGACGGCCAATTAAACACTACTGTCTCTGTTAAAAAATAAAACAGTTAGCGAGAATGAATCATACAAATTTAAGACGAACAAAGCAAATCCAGTCAAACAGCAAAGCCAAACACGACAGAGAAAGGAGGCCTAGGACGGAGACTACCGGTGAGCAGACCCAGCACGGCAGCCGGCTTCTGAACAAGAAGTTTGACCCCCTCCTTATTTTCAAAATAACCCCCCAGAAGCAAATTTAGAAATCATTTGGAGGAAGGCCTTGTACCTAGAAACATAACCTTTCTAACAACAAGACACAGTTTAAGACAGTTGCAGTGGTACCCACGCGAGGATAGCCCAGAAAGCATCGGCTTGACAGGACTGGCATGTTGTGTTACGGGGTTGTGTGCTGGGGGAGGGTTGGAACCGGCCAGGAGACAGCATAGAGAACGAGAGGAGCTCCTGAGGGTGCATGAGACGGGAAAATGAGAGAAAAATACTTCACAAGCTGTGGTTTCAATCCACAACCGAGGTGCACACATTACATTTTTGTAATTACAGTTTTACAGTTTTGAGGAAAACGCCAATTGCAATGGTGCCTTAAAAAGACGGCATTTCAGTAAAAAATTATAAAATAATAAATATGCCACATGGTGTTCGGTGATAGATTGTATAACTATCACAAGTAGACATTAAAGACCGTGCATAATTCACTTATAAGTCTTAGAGAGAGGGTAGGGAAAACGAGGAGTCTGTAACAGGACAAAGGAATTGACGCATTATTTACAACTTGAGAAACATGAAGGTGTTTACACACAATGAGGCTGGGTTCACACCGTGAAGGTGTGTACACACATTGATGGGTTTACATTGAGAGTGTGTACATACACTGAAGATGGGTTTGCACACCGTGCCATGGTGTATACACACATTGAGGGTGTTACACAGTCAGTGTTTGTACACACTGAGGGTGTTATATACAGTGTTAATTATTTTTGTATCTTATTTTAAAAACACTTTAAAAGAATCAAAAACAAGTATATAAACAATAAGGCTTACAAAGCACAACATGGCAGAATTGACAGCCAGCCAGGGAACACTCACCCATGGAGCTGGTTGACTGTGCCCCCACGGGGTTGACAGATGGTCTTCCCAGAGAAGTAGTAGATGGTGCTAAAACACATGAACAGAAACTCAGGAGGTCAGCCATCAGAATTTTCCTGTCAGCTGCTGTCAACACCGTCGCCATAAGACTTTATTCTGGCGAAGGTAATTGCTCTTTACTGAATAATTTTATGTCAATTTGGCATGAGCTAAGGTCACTGAGCTGGGAGGGAGCCTCGGCTGATAAAATGCCTCTGTAAGATCAGGCTGAAGGCAAGCATGTAGAACATTCTTTTCATTAGTGATTGATGGGGGGGGCAGCCATTGTGGATGATGCCGTCCCTGGACTGGGGTGATCCTGAGTTCTATAAGGAAGCAGGCTGAGCAAGTCACGGGGAGCAAGCCACCATGGCGTCTATCAGCTCTTGCCTCTAGGTCCCTGCCTTGTGTGAGTTCCTGTCTTAGCTTCCTTAGATGATATGGAAGTGGAAGCCAAACAGATCCTTTCCTCCACAAACTGCTGTGGTCATGGTGTTCATTGCAGCAATAGAAACCCTAAGACTGGGTCTTACAAATGCTAAGCAAGCACTCTGCCACTGAGCTGAATTCCCAGCACAGGGCCCTGCAAACCTCTGAAGTCCAATATCTCCTGCCATCCTCCGCCTTCCTCTCTCTCTTCCTGCTCTCTTCCTCCCTCCTCCGCCCCTTTCTCTGGCTCATGGTTTTCTCTTTTTCTTCTAGGTGATCTGTGACCGAGATTCTTCTAAGTCAGCACTCGGGGAGTGGATGACTCCTGTGTGCTGGGAGTTTGTCCTTCCGGAGACACAGCCTAGGGAAGGTGCTATAGTGGAACTGAGTTTCAAGAAGCCAGACAATACTTACTTAAACATCCTTTGGGCAACCCTGCAAACACACACACACAAAAAGAAAAGTCAGTTTTAACATGGCGGTGTTAGTATCACTGCAGACAGCTACCCAAACATCATCACCAGGGAGCAGGCAGGCAATGAACCAGAGGCAACAATCTCTTCCTGGCTTGACTTATGAGTTAAATGAACAAGATGGAAGCTACCCACAGCAATTAATTTGTAGAAGATATGCAAGGGATGGAAACATTAAACGGGGGTATATTAATTATAACAGGAGTTGAAGGGGAGCAGGAGAGGGTTGGTATAATAGTTACTCAGCTGGCTGAGAATTTAAGTTGAAAGGGACCCACACTAACCGCACACACATGTGGATGTATTCCTTGGATGTGCTTCTGGAGAGCTAACACTTGTCTTTTAGTAATGTCATAGCGATGGGATTCCTAAAGGATCTAGAGACAGGCAAAGCTAACACCCGGAGGAAGGCTAACTGCTTACTGTTCCCTGTGGCTTGCTCAGCAACCCAGGACCACCAGCTGGGGGATGGGCAGGTAGGGAGAGACGGTGGGCTGGACCCTTTATCAATCATCAGTCAAGAGAAGGCTTCACAGATTTGCTTACAGACAATCTGATGGAGGAGCATTCTCAGCTGTGGTTCTTCTCAGATGACTAGCTTGTGTCAAGTTGTCAAACACACACTCTCTCTCACACACAGACACACACAGACAGATATACACAGACACATACAGACAGACATACACAGACATACACAGACACACAGACACTTACACATACACACAGAGACACACACACATACACACACACAGACACACACACATATACATACACAAACGCACGCGCGCGCGCGCGCACACACACACACACACACACACACACACACACACACGCCAGGACAGATGCCCTTATATGTGGACTAAGTCAAAGCACATGGAAGTTTCTCTCTTTTGTACTATTACTTCTTCTCATGGCCTTACTGTGTGTGCATGTGTGTGGTGCATAGAGGTGTTTGCACATGTGTGCACGTGTTCAGGTGAGTGCCCATGCACAAGTGTGTGCACATGTGGAGGCCAGAGGAGGCACTGGATAGTTTTCCCACCATTTCTACCTTATTTCATTAATTTATTGGGCAATGCTGGGAATCACATCCAGGGCCTGTGCGGAGCCAGCAGCACTGTCATTAAGCTGCATTGCCTACCCTGTCCCTTCACCTTAGGCTTTGAGAGAGTGTCAGCCATTGACCTGAAGCTCATCAGTCTGGCTTAGGATGGCTGGCCTGTAACCATGAGGGAATGGGCTAAGTCTGTCCTCAACAATCCTGTCTCTGTATTTGGCTTTATGTGAGTGCAGGGATCTGAATCAGGCCTATATGCATGATATGTTTGAAATTTGTTATAAAATCAAACTTAGACACTGCATATGCCTTTTCCTGTAATAGTAAGCATGCATTCAATTAAATCTCAGGATGTCTAAGGTATCACAGCAGCCTTATCAATACTATGACTCACTTCCTGAGCTATAAACACTCAATTCCGTGCACATAAACAGACAGCGTGACTTCCATAGTCTCGGTTGACCGGTTAGTATTCAAAAGTGGTAAAAGGGAACTTGCCAGAGCTTAGGCACCCCAAAAAGTTAGGATGGTTGTGATGTATAGGCCCACTTTTAGGGGGATCGCAAAGTCTTTAGTCTTCATGAGTTTTAAACTTCGACTTCTCCACATGTCAGTAAGATGTCTCCAGACTCAACTCTTCCCTAAAATGCAAGCATCCACAGCCAGAAACGAGCAGTCAATGCAGGGCTAAGTCGTATGAAAATAAAGTTATTGTCAGAAATCCTCTGTGTCTATCAGCTTTGAGTCATCGGCCATCCCACAGCCTTGGACAAGCCGTTACCATTTCTCATGAATGTTCCTCTTCTGCCAGTTAGGAGTAGTCATATTAGTAAATCCGTCGATTTAAGTCTTTAAGAGCTGATCAGCAAGGCTCCCTGACAGTGTGCATCTGCAGAGCTACTGTGCTGCAGAGATTCCCGTGGTCCACTGCACAGAGAGCCCTGCGCTGGCCCCTGCTGTGGGGCTGTGTGAGCCTGGAGGGTCCCCAGTGTCCTCCACTATATGCTGGGGTGAGTCAGTGATGGCAGGGACAGCTCTGGGCAGTCCACACATGCGGATGTCTGCATTGCTCCTAGAGAGAAGATGACAGATGCCCACTGGGGGAGCCAGCACACAGTGGATGCTGAGTCCATGTTGGTTCTCGCCACGTCCTGTTGCGAATGGCTTTGCAGCCTTAAGTTTCTCACATCAAGGTAGCTTCTGGCATTGGTTGGATGTGTTTTGAGGAGTAACTGTCACCCAGGAGGAGAGTCCCCAAGAATTAGGAGACACAGTGACAACACCAGACAGTGACCATACTTCTTTGAACTCTGGAAACTTCACTGTCCAAATCCTACCACAGCACAATTAATTTTCAGAGATCTGTCACCACCACCCCCCTGCATTAACACTAAGCAAGGTCTATCAAGCCGTGGTGTTTGTGTGGTCCAGACACTGGGGTGCCCTCTAGCACTTTTCCGCCTATGTTGGGGTGTCATTGGCATAAGAGTGTGTAGCTTCATGATGGTTTGATATAAACATTGCAAGATGATCACCATGTTCAAGCAAATAAATGAATCATTGTTCATAGACTGTCTCTTTCTTGTCATGATGAGAACCCTTCCAAGCCATTCGCGGGGTAAACCACGAGCGTGCGTCAGTTACTCTGTCATTACTTCCTCAGGATTTAGTCCCCGTAGAATGGCAGGTGTGTGCCTTCCCTCAGCAGTGCCTGCTCCTTGGTCTTTAGGAACCGCCTTTCTAATCTCTGTATGAATTTATTTTTATTTGCAAACTTGTTTGTTGAGAATTCCATCTATGAACACTGTATTTATGTCGTTTCTTCCCCGCTTCTTCCTCCAAGTTCTTCCACATCTCTCCCACTCCTCAAATTCATGGTCTCTTATCTTTAATATTTGGATACATATACACAAATTGCCTTTCCCATTCCTTCTCAAATGCATGGTCTTTTATATTTAATTATTTTGTTATTACCTCCTCCCCAGTCCACTGAGAAAAGTCAGGACAAGAACTCAAACAGAGCAGAAGCCTGGAGTCGGGAACCAGAGCAGAAGCCGTGGTGGAACACTGCTCAGTTGTCTGCTCCTCGTGCCTTACTCAGCCTGAATTCTTGCACCCCAGAACCACCTACCCAGGGGTGGCATGGCTACATTAATCATCAACCAATAAGATGCACCCCAGGCTGTCTACAGACCAATCTCAGAGGTGTTTCCCCAGCGGTACCCTCACCCAGTCACCCTAGCTTGTGCCAAGTTGACGTAAACAGCCAGTACAGACGTTTTCACAAGGCAAGTCTTCCAAACCAGAGCCCGGTATGTCTTTCCATTTTCTCGTGTGTTCCTCGGTTTCTGTAACACAGTATTGCCTTTGGCAAGCAGATCTTCCTCTTCCTTGGTTTTTCAGCTAGTCCACCAGCAGTGGAGAAAATGCTGCCGGTTTCTGCACATTGTTTTTGATGCCCCGCACTGCAGCAGAACTTTGGTGTTGGTGACTTTGATGGAACAGTTCCTACGTCCAAGGCCACAGCTGCCAACAGGCGACTTCTGCTGCTCTCTTCCTGATTTCTGTGCCTTTTGTCAAATTGCTCTGGGTAGGATTTCCAGTCGACTGCAAAGGAAAGTGATTCAGTTTCCACCCGGGAAGATGATGTTAGCGTTAGAGCTGTCACTTGGGGGCTTCATCTGTGGAGGGGCCTTCAGTATGCCCCTAACGTATCGTGGAAGAACGGTGGATTTTGCAAATGCATCTTCTACAAATCTGGATATGTCTATATGACTTCATTCCTTCATTTTAAAATTTTGCTTTATTGATTTGCATGCAGGAAAAATTCTCCACTGATCATGGCAAACGATTCTCTTTTGAAATACTTAATTTGGTCTGGTATTTTGTCTATTGTTCTTGCACCTGGTTCTTTGGTGATACAGCTGGTATTTTCTCCCGGGGCTTCTGCTTGACTTTGGGATCAAAGCAGGGCCGATTTGGGAATGCTAGTCTCTAAGTATTCCTTCCTCCTCAGTTATTTGAGCTTGAGAGATGGGATTGATTATGGACTGCTAGATCAATTCACTTGCATGTGGGCCGGACTTTCGATGACAGCATTTTGCAAATAGCCAATTCTTTTATCCATCTGACGGGAGCTGTTTTCAGATGCTCTCCGTGGGAGACACTTAGGAAGTGAGCCATTGAGAGGGGCAGTGTCAGGAGTCCCAGGCAAGGTATCTGAAGTGACTCTTGAGAAATGTTCTTGAAGGAATCTGTGGGACATCACCTGGCAGCTTATCCTCCCTGCTCCCAACCTCTTCATCACTCAGGGTGGTGATCACCTTTGTAGATAGAAGGAATTGAATCTAATGGGCAGCTTTCCTTGTGACTGGAGGATGTGAACTCATTCGATGTGCTGAGACTTTTCCTTCTGGGAGAAATGATGGCCTTAGGGGCCTTTCCTGAGCTTTGAGTTTGTCCGGGTGGGGAAGGTGAATGGGAAGAGTGAAGCTATCAATAATTTTAATGTCTTTATTCTAAGATTCTCTTCCTGGTCCCGGGGTCCCACAAAGTTCTCTTGGGTGTTGATCTACGCTGCTTGGCACAGAGGAGAAGGAGGCTCTTGGTCATGCTGCCCCCGTCAGTGCCTCAGGTCACTCTGAACGGGTTGGAGGGTAGGCAGGAGGGGGTCTGGAAGGCTGCCTGTAAAGTCAGTTCACAGCATGAATCCAAGTATTTCTCAGCATTTGCCAGACTTCCTTAAGCCTTTGGTTTCTTGACTTTTGTTGGTGGTGAGTGTTCAGTTTGGGTCTTAAGTGTCTCCCACAAGCTTGTGTGCTCAGAGTTGGTCCTCAGTACATCGGTGTTTGGAGATGGTGTCTTTGGGGGTGGTGGCATTAAGAAGGGTTGTTTCTTGGCATGCACCAGGTAATAGCATTGCTCCACCACAGACTGGGCCAAAGGAAACACCGAAGGAGCGCTCTGAGAGGAGGGGCTGAGTGTCTACTGCTAAATATTTTATCTACGAAATATTTAAATAAATAATTATCTATGTCTACTCAAATATTTTATCCTGTGGTGGAAATCTGACGGGAAACTGGTAACAGGATGGGGATGGTTGCTTGTGGCTCAGAGCTCTTGGAACTGTTTGTGGGGGGAGTTTGGGCAAGTACAAGGACAGGCTAGGGAAAGCTTAGATGCTGAAAATGGAGCTTGGTGGGCAGCCAGCCTGAGCCCCGCCCAGATGCTGGCAGGTCTGACATCTCCTGGGGATTCTCCTCTCCACTGCTTACAGGATGAAGACATGCCCACACATGACCCGGATGTGAGGCAGTTGATTGGGAGTTTCAAGGTTCCACATTCTTCAATCAGTGGTATGGCTATTTCCGGCTGCCTTAGGTGAGAATTGTGAGTGGGGAAAGTTGTGGGAAGATTGGACAACCGCTCCTTGGCCAGCAAAGGAAGTGCTTGAAAGCTGTGAAGAGATTAGGGTCCTTGAAAGAAAGCTACCTGCTTCAGGACAGTATGAAGTCTGCCGACTTCTCCTGTGGCAGGCAGGATCAAAAGTATCAAAGTTTGAAATTTTTTTTTTCCTCAACCACCCTGGCTCTCAGAGGCCATCCAAGGGAAGGCGGGGACCCTCCTGCTGTCCCCACAGCATCTGTGTGATGCTGTTTTTCCAAGCATGCAGAATATAAGAGCTACATAGTAATAGAGACTTCTTCCTAGACTTCTGAGATGCTGAGCAGCTCTGGTGCTGGACGCCAGCATGCAGCCCATGAGAGGGGGCCTGTGAGCAACAGATGCAATTGGAGACCCTAAGCAGTTGTGGGGGTCAGGACCGTGGGGCGCCTGCTGAGGGAAGCCACAGGTGGTGAATGGAGTCAGTCCTGGAGAGAGCCTAGACTGGCTGCAGACAGTGGAGGTAGAAGGGGGATCTGCAGACCCAGGAGCTCACGTGGTGCCACCTTCCTTGCTGATGCTGATGTGAGCTCAGGGACTCTGGGCTATGCTGGGCTGGGAACTGCCTTTGTTTGAGTTTCCTTCTGTTGCTTTGCTTCTTTCTTTCAGACTGAGAATAGCTGCCCAGTGCTGCTGTGTCTAGGAGCTACGTGAGCTGTTGGTCTGATTTTTGAAGATGCCCAGAGCTGAGAGGTTGCTTCAAATCTGAGGGGAAACATGGGACTTGGGTGTTTGACCTGTTCTGGAAGCACCGAGACTTCGAAGTTCCTTAGAGAGGAACTAGATGCCGTTTGTACTGTGGGATGCACATGAACCTGCGGTTTGGATCCCGACCGTGTTCTAGAAGGTCTCAGGTTGAAGGCTTGGTCTCCAGAGCAGCGGTTAGAAGTGGGGTCTTTGGGAGGGGACTGGATTTCACAGCATGGCTGACTGACTTGTTTATAAACTGTGGATTAACAGGAGGGGCTGCTGTGGAAGTGAATGCTCTCTGCTTCCCAGCAGCAGTTTCTGTCCGCACGTGCTCCTGCCATGTGCTCTCTCCTTGCCACAGCTTCAAAGCAACTGGACCAAGGCTCCACGGGCTGAACCACCCGCTCAGGGTCAGCTCAAGCTCCCTTTAAAGGTGTTTCCTTCAGGTGTTTTATCACAGGAAGAGAAACGCGCAGGGCTCACAGATCTTCATGCTAGTAGGAAGATGGCCGTTCCCTCTAACTTTACCATAAATATACTTACCTTACATGCAATGTCTAGAGGACTGAAGAAAAATGTGAGATTCTTAATGTCTTCTAAACAGACGTATGTATTCATTAACAAACCAGTGTCTAATTTACTTGCCACTTTCTGTTGAAAATGAACTTCAGGATCTTAGAGGAAGCTAAACACAAGGAGACTCTGAATTGATTCTACGCACGTCTGTGCTACGTGTTAAATAAAATTCTGATTACCTTTGTTACGTCTGGCAGAGGCGATACCTTGTGCAAAAGAGAAAACAGACTGTTACCAATGTCTCACCAAGAGATAAATTTACCACCAGCCCACATCACAACTAAGGGGTTTAGCCCTTTCCTACACTGTCCCACTCTTGTGTCTTTAATTTCAGAAAATAAAGGGGTTCAGAAGTTCCTCACTCTCCTCTCTTACGTGTCATGGACCAGAAGGACAGAGAGGAGGGGATGGTGAAGGTAGGTGGAGGGCATTCGCAGAAAACTGGGTGATCCAACATTCCTCAACTCTTGGGAATATATATGTGTGTGTGTGTGTGTGTGTGTGTGTGTGTGTGTGTGTGTGTGTGTGTGATTGCTTCTACAACCCAAAGCGGCATGGTCCTTTAGGTTTAGATTGGTTGGTGAGTCCAAGTGGCTTCAAACAAGAATGAGGGGCAAATCTCGCAGCTCCTAAGGAGATCTGATTGTGACTTCCGGGGGAGTGAGTCGAGGGCACATCCATAGGCAGCCACTGGGAAAAAGCTTCAAGGGAGAACAGTTCTAAAGCCAGATGACAGAGAGAAGGACATCGCTGGCATACTGAGACCAGAGGCTCGTGTGAGTCCCTGCAGACAACCTCAGTGCCTTGGAGTCTCCTCCTAGCCATCGTGTTTCTGGAGATGTTTTATTTCAGATTACCTTTGTAATTCACTCCAGCCTATATGGCTAAATTTGGTGGATAATCTAACTATAAAAATGCTAAATATTGAAATCTAGCACTCAATAATCCTCTTTCTCTAAGTCAAGCGGGTGTACTCAGTTTAGAATCTGGGCATTGGAGTCATGAGCCTCAGCTCAGAACCCAGCTTCTCCTTTAATAGTGAGGCATGGATGGGTGTCAGCTGTTTAGATTATTAACTTCATTTTTGAAAACGAGGTTCATAATTTTTTGTGTCTCATTTTATTGTATATCTTTCAAAGTATCTCTTCAATATGCTATTTAAGCTTTATGACGATCTATAAACTATGTGTTTTGTCCACTTAAGATGTATTTTATGTGTGTGGTCTTGGTGTTTTGCTTACATGTACGTCCTTGCTCTTAACCACTGAACCTCTCTCCAGCCCCCTTTATCCTATTTTAAACATCTGTGGGACTGTTTTTATAAGGGTTCTTATAGATCCTGGGGATAGGCGTAAACAAGAGGAGAAAATGAATTATTTCAATGATCTTAAGGAGAGATAGTTGCCCTTTTGGAGAAAATGTCCAGCTGTTTTGCATCTGCCTGAGCACAGAACAAGGCAGCTGGAAGCCACACGGCAGTCTGCTGCTGGCACACATGACTTGGAAAGCGAGAAGAAGCAACACATTCTTCATGAACTGTCTGCAGTTCCTAATATTTGTCCCTACCATCCTCATTGTCCAGAAGTCCAGCACCTAGGGAGAAAGGAGAGAGAGCTCAGTGACTGTGATCTCAGCGCGGCTTTACTTACACGTGCACGAGCTAATGCAAACACAGACTTTCAGGATGGCACTGCAGCACCCAGCTCCCTCTTCCCCTGCAGCGTCCTGGGCCCACTCTCAAAGATGCCGCTATCTTTCCCTCCTCATCAAAGCAACCTTAGCCCGCTCCACTCTCACCATTCCTGGCTGTTAGAGCCTTCTGTCCAGTTATGGAGGCCTTTTCACAGCGAGACTTAGACCTCCCCCACTGAGCAATCAGTTTAGTGGCTGAGGGGTCTGTTGATCCCAAGGCTTAGTGTTTCTGCTGCCACTGAGAGGAGCCTCCCAACCATGCATGCTCATGCACTAGTGATCCGTTCTAGGAGATCCCGTTCTAAGGGATCTGCCAGGATTCCCTTAGAAATGCAGAGGTGTAGCTCATGGGGTCACATGCTCTGTCAAGTTCTGCAGGCACACGGGTGAGCCAGACACACACACACACACACACACACACACACACACACACACACACACAGACACACGGGGAATCCACGTGCAAAGCACTTCATCGCTCACGGCGTCAGATACTCACATTGTTCTGAGTTGACTCTGGAGATTTGTGTCACTGTGGAAGGGGTAGGCAAATGTTTCCATTAGCTATTGACAGAGGTGTTCTTCCTGACCCAGCCTTCTGTGCTCTAAGCTTTGACCCCCCTACCCCCTGCCAGCGGTCCTTCTAATGGGATGCCCAGTCCTCCTTTCCAGTATCCCCATCCAGCCCTGTCATGCTAGCTTGCTTTCTCTCTGAGGGTTCACAGGTACTGAGGAGAGGAAGTCTGGGGCATGCAGGTGACAGAAGGAAGCAGGACAGGTATGCAGGAGGATTCTGTGGAGAGGGACCTTAATTCTGGGCCCTGTCCAGTTCCTCTTACACGTCCCACCGACTGTTTGTATTACTGTCTCCCACGCTGTCGCGTGGTTTTTTCTGCACACCGTCAGATGTGACATCTGCCAGCATCTTGTTTTCCCACATTTTCAGACTTGAGCACTTTCCTTTGGAACTGAGATAGATTTGGTTTTAAAGTATTCTTACTCCTCTCGCTAACTCTTCTGTTTCTGTTGACTGTGCTGATGGTGTAAACTCTGGAATTTTACTCTGTGAGCAGAGTCACTGGCAGGGTCAGACCTCTGGCGCCTGTGTGGGGCACCCTCTGAGCACACCTGGAAAGTCTGTCGCTATGGGGCTGCTGCTCAGCTTCCCTCCCTCTGGGACTTTCATGGGGAGTCGTCATGGTTACTCACCATTTTTTCTACACCGTGACCATCTTACTATCAGAATAACCAGGAAAAGGAGGCCTAGCAGAGTCACGACAGCAACCAAAATTACTTCTGAAACAAAAAGAGACCTATTGGCTTTGGGCCACATCATTGCCTGAGGCCACTGCTGCCCTCATACTGTTCTGTCCCCTCCTTCCTTTTCCCTCAACTCTTTATCTTATTTATTGTTTAGAGGGGGTCTCATATAGCCCAAACTGGCCTTGAACTCACTATGTAACTGACGCTGGCAGCTTTGGTTACCGGCAAGCCCAGCTTCTAGAGTTCCCTTCCTCATGCTTCTGCCATTCTGGCCCCAGCCCAGTTTTTAGCTCTTACACTTGTTCTCTTGGTTTTGGAACAGCCCTGGCTGCCATAGCCCTTGCTTTAAAGTGGGCAATCGGAGGGATCCCCTCCTCCACGGAGGTCATCAGTGGAGCCCCTCAGTGGAACAGGAGGAGGTTGGGTGAGATCAGTGGTCTGGCAAAGCAGTCCTCTGAGGGGTGAGGGAAAAAATTAGAACTTCTTTTTTTTGGTGTGTGTTTATAATTTAACCTTTTGTGTATGCATTTTCCATTTTGTTTAAAACATAGATATTAGTATATTTGTAAATAAGAATGTCATACTCAAAATTTTTTTTTGCACGGATGAGCAACCTTTTGGTTTTGGAGGCCCTGGAGAGGTGCCCTCTGAAGGCAGTGATATTAATGTGTGCCAGATGAGAGGACGGACGTTTCCTGTCAGCGAGCCGACTGATGAATGCATGCTTGTGAACTTGTCACCAGGACTGGAGGACGATGTCCACTAGGACTGTCTGTGTATCCGTATGGTTGTTTTGTATTTGATATTTACGATAGAGCAGAAAAGACAATGAATGGGGGAATATGTCCATGGCAACCAGAAGTCTGTAACCGTGGAAGCCTGAAGATTATCAAGCTCTGAATGCCCAAGGTGTAGTAGAAGGGGAATGGGCTGTGTCCCGCCGTCTGGCTAGCTCAGCCCCGAAATAATTACACAGAAACTGTATTCATTGAAACACTGCCTTGCCCATTAGGTCTAGCCTCTTATTGGCTAACTCTCACATCTTAATTAACCCATTTCTATTAAGTCTGTGAATCACCATGTGACTGTGGCTTACCAGCAAGATTCTAACCTACGTCCATCTTGGTTCGGAGAATCATGGTGTCTCTCCCTACCTGCCTTATTCCTCTCAGAATTCTGTTCTGTCTACTCTGCCCACCTAAGGGCTGCCCTGTCAAAAGGCCAAGGCAGCTTCTTTATTTAACCAATGAAATCAACACAAATATAGAAGGACCTCCTACACCGAAAGGAAATAGAGCATCCCACAATCAAGGCTACTTCCAAGAACACTAGTGGAAATCTACTCCAACTGGCAGATCGGGATTGTCTGTTGAGTCTTTTTAGATGTTTGTGAGAAAATCCTGCTACAGAACCCTTCGCCTCTAGAGATTTGCTCTGAATATATTTCCTGAAGTCAGCAGCTGATCTCCACCACAAAAGTGTCAAATTCTGGTGAAAAGGAGATTAGCTTGGATGGTGGGCTCAGAGGAAGTCCCAGAAAGCAGTTGTCTCTTTGCCTGGCGTTTGAAATGTTCTTAGTGTGGGCTTTTGGAAATGGTCAATCCTTGTGTGTGGGGAAGGATGACATACCTGAGGCAGTGAACAGTAGGAAGGATGTCGAGGGGCTGTGGTATGTTCTAGCACTGTGGGCAGTGGTTACTCTGTCTGAGAGTTCAAACTTCAAAAAGCCAGAAGTGATTGCTGTAGAGATGGACAAGTTTCCCTCAGGAATCAGTTAGAACGAAAGAACGGGTATTGGGGCTGAAAGACACCAGGTAAGAAAGCGAGCCAGTTCCACTAATGCCCCCAGGACAAGACTTGAGAGAGTAGGTATAGAGGAAAGGCCAGAGAGGAAGCTGGCTCTTACCCAAGCCTGCCATCTTCCAGTTAGTGTTCTCAGTGGGTTCCACGGCATCTGGATTCGTTTGTCAGAGAGAGATCAAGATAAATAAGTCCTCAAATTCACAGCCGCTGAGCTGTGAGACCTGAGTGTTAGGGAGACCCTTGTAGACAAGAGTGCAGAGGGCCTCCCAGGAATTGTGTGGCTTAGGTTCATCGGACCCAAGCAGGATAGGGTCTGTGAAAGTTCCGACAGTGGTGTCATAATGAAGCCTCAGAACTTCCAAGAGGCAAGAGAAGTCCCTAGAGTTAAAGAGGTAAGGGCTTCTGAGAGACCAGATTTAAGGACACTTTGGTGCTCACACATGGGGCCCAAGGTCTTGGTTTTTACAATAATTTCTGATAGTCCAGACACTTTGGCTCAAGTGTCTATTTCATGTTGAGTACCTTCAGCAGGGTAGCTTTAGAAATGTTTCTTTGTTAAGAAGGTGAAAAAAAAATCTTAAAAATAAGAGCCTTCAAATGAAGACGAACAAGGGAAGTGAAGACATTCAGCCAGGCGACAGAGTCGGGAGGTGTGTGGTACCTAAGACTAAGCCACCAAATGGGGTTTCACACTCCCATGTTGGTAACAAAGTACCAAGCACCTCTTGCTGAAGTCTGTTAGTTTCAAGGCTGTTCAGTAGGCAGCTTAAAGCACCCAAGCAGCCCTCAGTAACCTTCACCGCCCCAAGTAAACTTCATATCTCCCCAGTAACCCATTACCCCCCTCCCCAGCACTCTTTCAAGATGGCAGACGGCGGAAGTTACCCCGCAACAAGTGGCTGGGTTTCTGATCACAAAGCCCATGTGATTTGCTCAAAGCCATGTTTTCCTGCAGTGCTGAGGGCCTCCCGTCTGAAGCGGTGTTTTTTCCTAGGGTGAGCAGCCAGCTCTAGAAGAGGAACGCTGCCCTATAGCGGCAGAGGCCCCACCTTTAGGACTTGGTTTTGCATCAATCCTTATGGTTACAATCATTACTCAATTTTTATGGT